GGAACGTGGGAACATAGAGGTAGAGCTGGAGAATGTGTGTTACGGGGCAGGGATGGAGGACTGTGAAAGTAGGGGAACTGAATGTAGCTTGTTATGGTGAGACACAGGACACATGGGGGATAGCCAGGGAGAGAGATGGAGGCTGGTAGGAAAGATATCGGAAAGGCAGGCAAAGGAAAGATGATGAAGACCCTTATCTGTCAGACTAAAGAGCTTAAATTTTATCTTGAAAATAATCAGGGCGTGCTGACGAATTTTATGCATGGGAGAAGTAAGAGTAGATACGAATTTGAGAAAGTTATTTTGGAGGATGAATTAGAGATGGAAGAGGGGAAACTGAAGACAGGGAGACCAGTTAGATGGCTACTGCAACTGTCTGAGCAGAAAGAGCAACCACCTGAGCCGTGCTGGTGAGAACAGAAGGAGAGGAGAGATTCAAGGGACAAGTAAGAGAAAGAATGATTCAAGCTGGTACTTGATTGGATGGTTAGGGTCAGGGAGAGAGGGAAGAGTTCAGGCTGACATCCAGATTTCCAGCTTAAAAAACTGGATGCTGCTAGTATTGTTCATCGAGAGATGAAAGAACAGAAGTGTAGAATAACACGTCTGGGAAGTGGGTAGGAGGTGAGGAAGTCAGTGCCACTATGGGATGATACAGTCTAGGTCATGAGAGAGGATACAGCCCGGCAGCCTGTAGGATGTCTGAAATTTGGGTCAAGATGCCTTTTGAGAGTCAAAAACATGATAGGACCAGTGAAGCTGGTGGGCAAACATATCACCTGGAACACTATTAAAAATATGTACTTCTAGGCTCCTCTCTGGAAAGGATCATTCAGTAGGAATTAATTATAAGAATCTGGAGAACCGAGAAATCTATGGTTTACAGTGCTTCTGACGTCTGGCCAGAGTTTTGCCTTAGCACGACTTTTAGGGACTCTCTCCAATGAGCAAACTCTATGCAGGCTGTGTCTCAAGGAAAATGGACGGTTTTTTATCATGAAAAATGTGAAATAGACTCAGTCATACCTGTGAAACATCTACTGTTTAGGCAAGGACAGATGTAAGTGCTAATGCTTTAATTTTTTAAAGTAATAATTAAAGACATTTGAAATCAAGAAAGGTTTTATTCTACACTTTAATTCCAGAATTCATTTGGCAGGGTTTCATATAGTATTGCATTTCTCAGATATTGCTCTTTTTAAGTAAAGAGGGACAGAAAATCTATTTAAGAAACCTTACTTTTTAAATTTAAGAACTAAAAAGCAGCTTATTTTTTTTTTGTATTTGAAGTGCTTGTTCATTGCCGTCAAGTTTTCTTATTTCTTGAACACCCTTCAGAAAGTGTAACTGGTCTGTTGAAAGCTATCTCCCCTTACCTCCAATATTCTGCATTGTAATGGAAATAAAAGCTCCAATTTTCCCAGGCCATCCAAATGCCTTTTCACCTAGTTTTTCATAAATTAAAGATCCTATAATCAAAGATTAAAAGAACTTTGTTAGAAAGATTGGGTTAATAACTTAAATATCTTTATAATATAATTCTACCCTGGAGCCTCCTCACACATGTAAATAAACACCATGGGAAATTATAAACCCCAGATACACAATCTCAAAAGCCAATGCAAAATATGGTCAATGTTCCCCAAACAAGAAGCCAGAACTGTTACTTCTGTCATCCATCAAAAGTCCTTTTCTCTATATGGCTTGAACCTGAGCGGGCTGACTTTAACTTCTCTCACTTGCCCAGTTAACTGAAAATACGGAGAGACCGTGCCATTGGGGTCAGAAGAAAATGAAATGGGAAATTGACTAAACTCATCCTATAGTTATAGAGTTATAGACTGAAATAAACCTTTTATTGAGAATCAAAATGTAATTTCTTGGGTCTAAACAGTAGCATACCTCCTTCCTTGGCGGTCTTTAATAAAAGATGAACGGAGTAGAGTGATAGGATTGCCACAGCAAGCAGCAAGATTCTGTGAAGGAAGAGAGAGGAGGAAATAATACTTCTACAAAATATGAGACTTACTGATGTGAGATGTTACAATGCATGATTACACTGGCCTTTTAAACTGTTAACTTTCTAGGAGTATGTAGATTTGGGGAAAGCCGAAAAATTCCGTTCAGAACTCCATAAATGTCCTTTCACGTCACAGAACTGGAATGTGCTTTATTTTATGTGCAAAATGTACTACCTGAATTCCCCAACCTAGCTTTTTTTTTTAGTGTTACCCAGTAGTAGAATCTGGTTGATAACTTAGATGCTAAATATATAGCAAAATTAGCAAATACTATATGTACTTACTCAGCACGTGGGTATAGGTATATCATATTTGCATGACATTCTCATGCATATTTATAAATGAAGGGCTATTCAAAGACCTGACTAAACTTTAAATTAAAATTTAGAAATATGGAAGCCAAAGCGAAGTCTGAGCTCCATTACTACTGATCCTGCAGACTAGATGACAGGATATTCTGTGAATCAGAGGGTCAGGCAATTGCCCGTGTAATAGAGAAAACAGAGAAAGGTAAATATAGGGTGCAGGAAAACCTCTGTTGTATCCAGAAAAAAATCATTTCTGGCTCAGGACCCTCCCCATGTGCAATAGGCAGGTATGGTTTCTTTATGGATACAGTGATCAGTGCTTCTCCAAAAACAAAAATTGGAGAGCAAAAGTCAGAGTGTAGATAGAAGCACCTATATAATAAATTAAGGCATGATGCTAAAATTTACCTGACTTTTTAAAGTTTTTATTTTTATTGAAGTATAGTCAATTTACAATGTTGTGTTAGTTTCAGGTGTACAGCAAAGTGATTCAGTTGTACATATATGTATTTATTCTTTTTCCATTACATGTTATTATAAGAAATTGCAGATACTAATATATATAAAACAGATCAACAATAAGTTTATACTGTATAGCACAAGGAATTATATTCAATATCTTGTAGCTTATGGTGAAAAAGAATATGAAAATGAATATATGTATGTTCATGTATAACTGAAGAATTGTGCTGCACGCCAGAAATTGACACAACATTGTAAACCTCAATAGAAAAAATATGCAAAAAACCCAATATATTTCTCTATGCTATACAGTAGGTCCTTATTATTTAGCTATTTAATATATAGCATCAACCATGTTGCTGCTAGTGGCATTATTTCACCTTCTTTATGGCTGAGTAATATTCCATTGTATATATATACCACATGTTCTTCATCCATTCACCTGTCAATGGACATTTAGGTTGCTGCCATGTCTTGGCTATTGTAAATAGTGCTGCTATCAACATTGGAGTGCATGTACCTTTTTGAATTAGGGTTTTCTCTGGATATATGCCCAGGAGTAGACTTGGTGGATCATACGGTAACCTTATTTTTAGTTTTTTAAGGAACCTCCATACTGTTTTCCACAGTGGCTGCCCCTAACAGTGTAGGAGGGTTTCCTTTTCTCCACACCCTCTCCAGCATTTATTATTTGTAGACTTTTTAATGATGGCCATTCCGATTGATGTAAGGTGATTACTTAAATTTTTTTTAAACCATATTCTTTGTCTGTTTTATATGATGAGAGTACACTAAACATTTTCCCCACAATTGATCTAATTCTTCGGTAATTCCTGAGGCAGTCAGTGCTGCAAATGTTAATTCAGACCATGAGTTACAAATGTTATAACTACTCTAGCTCCACTGTGCTCTTATTTCCCACAAAATATGTTCACCAGAACTGCCTAATCAATGTCCTTTTCATACATTTTCCCATACGCCTTATGAATTTACCCATTTTCAAACAATTATGTGATTGTATTTCAGATTACATAACTTTGTTCCCTGGAAAACTGAACATTCCTTGCATTCTAAACATATACTTGTTTTGGCAGAAAAGACTAGAAGCAAAACCACTGAAGTCCTGGGTCACTTTTTATGAATTAAGGGAAAGAGCTGAATCAAGTTTGGGCTACGTGGATACACAAAACACACCTGTGATATCTAGCAATTAGATTGCTTTGGCCAAATTAATCTGCTATATGTTTATAGGCCTGAAATGGGGCTCTCATTTTTCAAAGTGTAATGTTCTCCTCCCATGAAAATGACCTGTGGCTCTAGGATCAGAGGACGTGTTTCTTAATTCTTATTCATCGATAATCTATGAAAAATTCCTAATTAATTTTAATAGCATGTGTAATTTATATGAAGAAGGCAGTCTTTTCGTCTTAGACATGCTGTAGATTATGAAACTACACAACTATACATAGCAACACATCTCTAACCATTAAGATTCAGAGAATTTTTAAAAACACTACTTTAATTCAAATATGGCTTATTAAAGCAAAGTTGATACAAAAACTCATTCAGCTAAAAAATATTATACCTGAGAGTTCAAACAAAACACTGACACAATATAAATATTTATAGTCTGGCCTGATCCTCGACCCTCAAATAGCTGTGTGATTACCTAATCGCAAGTGATGTTCAGGACATAAATAGCATATATTTATAATATAAATGTTGCATTCTTAGACAGTTATTTAACACTCTAACATCGCATTAGGGGCTGCGGTCTGCATTCACACTAATGCCTGACTAACATTAGACTTTATTCCTGTGAAGAATTCCACTGCTGCCAACTGTGCCTTGGAGAACACCAGGCTGTACGTAATGCACAAATGCCTGTGGCTGTCTGTCACAGGCTGTGTTATGTCCATCCTCCAGGTCAGCTATGTGACATGGCAATCCCTAGGCAGCATTTGACCAAGTGTGGTTAAAGTGCAAAGGTTCAGGAATAACCTTTGGCCACTCTGCAAATATTCCCCATGCCAAGCACAGCCTTGGGGATACAGACATGGGGTGAATAAAAACAGACAAGGCTCAACCCTTGGAGATGGTAGTCTAGCAAGGGAGAGTGATATTAACCAAATGAGTCAGACCACTGCACTACAATGTTAATACTGTGCTGAATGTATAATAAGGTGGTTTGTCCCAATTATGGAGGTTGGGGAAGGAATAACTGAAGTCAAGCTGAGCTGAGCTATGAGGAGTTAACTAGGTGAAGAAGAAAGGGAAGAAGGTTCCAAGATCACATGCAAAGGTCCTGTGGTGAGAGGGAATAAGGCACCTTCATGGGATGGAGAGAAGGCCAGTGTGCTCACTGCACCTGACATATAGGGGCAGGAGGGATGGGATGTGAGATGGGACCAGAGCATGTAGAACTCTATAGGCCTAGTTTGGAATCAGATCTTTTTCTTGAAAGTGTGATAAAATCAGATTTGTTACTAGGAAAGATCTCTTTAACTATTAAACATCAAACTATTTCACAATGAATTACTTTGAAATAGTCTCTGTGGGCTGGCAGGGCTATCCCAGCACTTTGGGGGTGGTGGAGCACCCCCATTTGGGTAGGGCTGGCTGACTGAACAAGCACCATGATTAGACTGCTCTGATGATTTCTTGTTGCCGTTTTATTTGAAAGCAAGAGAATATGTTAATATCTTCTCAGATCATTCCTATTCATGAATATCCAACTTAGGATTGTTACATTGAAAGAGCCCCAGGTAGGCATGGGCTTCAGACTAAATACAGAAATGCCTGTTGACTTACATGAAAAGTATGATCCCCGTGTTGGCCATGGCATAGGACAGGCCCAAGATTCCACTGCCCATGATGGCGTTACTCAGGTTGAAAGAAGACATGCCAAAGGAGGTGGTTCCAGGATGCTTGGGGGAAAAGACATATATTACAGGCAAACAGTTGCCGAAGGATGACCCCTTTTTTGGATTATCCATATCCCACATTATCTTTACTAGAGGAGGCTACCGTCCAACGTTGAAGACTAAGATAAAATCACAATGGATAAAAGCCACTTCTCAACTTCAATAAGAGCATGGAATTTTCAATGGAATGTAGTGCCTGGTTTCAGCAGGGGATCTCAGTAAAAAAAAAAATTTTTTTTTAATTACAGGTCAAGTAATAAAAAGAAGGGAAAGTGTGCGTAATTGCCAGTCACATTTGGGTTAGAATGATTTCTCCAAAAACACAAATTAATTTCATAAATGATTTATGCAGCCATATGGCGAACAGGAAAAACAAGCCCTTATTCCAGTAAGGGCCTGAATAAACAGAGAATTTGCTGATCCAGGCCTGGAAAATTTCAGTCATATTGTTTTCCCACAGAGACCTAGGTAGATCAGACACCCTCAGGTCCTGTTTACTGCCCTGAAAGCAGAGATTCACTTACATGTTCATCGTCGTAATCTGTCAGCTTCTTTGGCCCCAAAAATCCATTTGTCAGGAATTTCTGACTTTCAGCATCTTCATTAGCAAATTGACTGAAAACCCACATAAAAAGGAATATGAGACTGCAAAAACATCCAAGTACCTTGCTCTGAATTAGATTTGTGTTTCAGGTGATCTAAGTACCTGAAATTGGGGAGGAAGAACAAGACACACAGAACACCTTTTCTCCTCCCTTCCTCCATACTAGCGTTCTCCCCAGACCAACGACTGTGCTCCATTAGTGAATATACTTCGGGAGGGAGAGAGAAAGTTAAGAAGGAAGAAAATATTTTTTAGTTGGGATCTTTTTCAAGCCACATTTCTTCTTCTCACATGGACGATGCAACAAAGAGAATAATCAGAGCCAAATGTATTGCCATTTAGAGCCCGTCCAAAGAAAAAGAACAGCATAGGGACTGAATTTTCCCAACTGCTAATGTACCATGATCAGATGAGCTTATTAATTCAGTAAATATTTGTTAAGTGACTAGGCATTAAGTGATCCAAGATCACTTGATGCTCAAATGTCCCTGTGAGAGGACCTTCTGTGTCCCTGCTCTAAAGATGAAGATACTATGGCTCAGAAAAGTGAGGCAGCATGCCTGCCCTCACCAGACTCCATGTCTAGGGTCTCCCACAGCACCAGGCAGTCTCAGACAGGCCCTGTACCCAGCATTTTCCTCTTTTGTGGCTCCAGCTGTTTATACACATATCCCTCGCTGGAAAGGAGTCTGATGGTAGCTCTGTGTTGTGTTCAGCTGTATCTGTGTGTGTCAGTGTGTGTATTTTAATTACTCTGAAAATGCACTTGGGTTGTTAGACAATGGGTGAAACTAAGAAAAACATTAAAGAAAGCCAAATGAATTAGTAGAAGAGTTAGGAGGGAAGCAGGACTTTAAGATGTCACTATCCACGGAACATTGTGACTATGGTCTACTTGGCACAGGCTGGAAGCTCTCACCCCGACTGTACTGGTCGGCTCCCGCAGCTCTGTGCCAGAGGATTTGAGGACCCAGATCCAGTACCAGCCGTGTCTCCAAAAGGCTTGACTAATGAGTCCAGCTGCCACCATTGCATTTTTTTTTTAAATTGAAGTACAGCTGATTTACAATGTTGTGTTAGTTTCCGGTGTACAGCATAGTGATTCTGTTATACACATACATACATTTTTTTTCATATTCTTTTTCATTAAAGGAGTTTGGGATTAGCAGATACAAACTACTGTATATAAAACAGATAAACACCACTGCATTTTGAAGCTGCAAAATGCCACACAAGCTTTCTTTTTGTTATAGGAAATGCTCCAATATGCACGCTTCTTAAAAGTGCTGTATAATTAGATCAGTTGTGTTTTTTAGGACATTTCTTGCATGAGAAAGTAAGATACAATGATCGAAGAGTGTTTTAGCAAAATAACCCTTAGAAATAAAAAAAGGGGGGGAATCATTATTATAGGAAATCTGTACAAATTCTCTTTTATAGTAGAAGCTAATCCTGAAAACATCTTAGGAGAAAGAGGGGTAACAAGGTTACTCTTTGAAAAGAATAGAAAGTGTAGCTAGAAGCAGCAGGCGAAATCACAAAGTGTCACACGTGCTCCTCTGGAACCCAAGAAGCGTGCTTTTTAGCACCTCGCCGCGTACACGTTAGGACCATTTCCTGGCATTTTCCCTCCTATTTCTGGTAGCCAGCATAATGACCTCAGATGCTGCATTCTCCCGTCTCTGTACTCCCCCTCATTTTTTTGTGCTTTATTTTAATAGTCTGGAGTTAATATACTTGCTATGTGGAGACTGGTACGTCACGTTCAGAGTTGGAAACTGAGACAATAAGATGAAATGGGGCCTAAATTGGGCCTAACGATTATAAAAACAAAAATGTCATCTAGATTTAAACTCTGAAGGTCCAACCTTCTATCTTTTACCTTAACCAATAAGCTAGACCCCTTCAGTCCATGAGTAATTTTTAAATTTTTAAATGTGAAAGTAAATAGATTTTCTTCTTATTTTGGCATGAGATGAGTTGTAGTCACAAAACATGCCATCTTTTATAAAGTATATAAGAAATGTCCCCAGTGTCTTAAATGGTTTAATACCAAACCCAGCATATAGTGAAAATATAAGTTTAATGATTCCAAATAAATGTATTATATTGAACTTCCCCCGAAATTTACATTTGAGAGGTCAATCCAAACCAAATATAAATAAAACCCATGTTTTTAAAGTGATTATAAAACTGCAAAATAAAAATCCACGTTTGAGTCAGGGAACACTGTAAGTGTTCCAGAACACAATGTCCAAAATTTAATAAGAGCATTCTAGCTTCTTCCATTATGGCTCTCAGAGGACCAAACTGAATGATTCTGCAGAACCATGGAGGACGATTCTGAGGACTGTGTCCCCTTCAGCTCCACCCCCTGTGGAGAGCTTATATCCATGTGCATCCTTCTAAGAAAAAAAAGAGCCCTCAGATTTGATTAGTTTACTGTGTATCATCTATCTTCCAGGCACTCGTTTAATCTTCAGTAAAGTAGGTGCTGGCTGGCCATTCTGGATTTTCCAATGAAAGTCAAAGAAGATAAATATCTTCTCCAAAGTCAGGCAATTCCTCTGCAGATTCCAAAGCCCCATTTTCCTTCCTCAAGAGTCAACCAACCTAGAAAGCGCCATGTTAACATCTCCATGGCCTCTCCAGTCCAACAATACTGAAGTTTATGGCACTGACTCCTTGGAGAAAGAACAGTGCTTCGGACCAGAGAGTCTCTCCTGGATATTGTGAATGAAACAAGACATCTTGGTTTGAGGATAATATTTCCTAATTCAGGCCTAGATTTGGTCAAAAGTTCACTTCTGAGTGTCTTACATCACACAATGTGACTTGATTTGTGTTATATAACATTTTGTGAGAAATTAATATACTTATCAAATAACATGGTGCACCTACCATGGACCAGGCAGTGCCATGAACCTGTTGTCGTGGCATCATGAACATCCGGACAGGGAGAGGGTGTGCAAAGAAGAGAGTGGTCACTTCTAACTGGGGGAAGGCTTCATAGGTGCCCTGACATTGAGCTGAGTCTTGAAGGATGAGGGCAGTTAATGGAGAAGAAGGTGAAGGTGAGAGAGGGCATTTCAGGCAGACAGGAGGGAATATGCATGAAGACACAAGGAGCTCTGAGTGGCTCAGCAAGTTTAGAAAAGAGGGTATAGAACAGGGAGCAGGGCAAGAGAGGGACAGGAGAGCCAGGCGAGGACCAGCTCATGAAGGGTCTTATACGTCAAGCAATGTGTATAATCTAATCTTTGTCCTATAGTTAATGGGGAACCACTGAGAGGTTTTACCCAGGGATGGAACATGAGTCAACCTGCAGTTGTAAAAGATGACTTCTGCAAGGCATGTGGAGGGCTAGTTGAAAGAGAGCAAAACGTAAGACATTAGAGAGACAAATCAGGGCTGTTCTAATAGACAGGTGACAGATGAAGAGGGCCTAGAGTCAGACGGCCACAGAATGGACACAGACAAGGACACGATACTGAGGTAGAACTAACTGGATACAATTTAATATTGGATGTGCCGTCTGGGGGAAGGGAGGAGTCAAAGTTGACACCAAGAGTCTTTTGATTGAGTCACTGAGAGCTAGTGGTGACTTTTGCCAAGATGGAGATTGTTGGAGGAGGAGAAAACTTTGAATGGAATTATAGGAGTTCAGTGTTAAACGTGGCACATTTGACTGTATAAATAAGGCCATTCAGACCCTTCATCAGCTGGTCCTCACCCAGCTCTCCAGTCCCTCTCTTGCCCTGCTCCAGTAGAGATGGGTAGTGAACAGCTGGATGTGATGAGCTGAAATCCAGTTGCGAAGCCTAACAGGCTGAAGATACGGCACATGTTCAGTGGGTGAAGCCATGATAGTTGTGAATGACCTTGCTCATGGGACACTTTTAGTGAGAGAACCGTCCCTGCAGAACTCTGGAGACCTAGCAATGCTTAAAGGCAGTCAAAGAAGGGGGAATCTGAGAAAAGGCCAAATGGGGCCAAAGGTAAGAGAAGTGATTGGCTGATATAATTAAAATTATTCTATATTATAAATGGGGACAAGAACACTGTTCCTGCAAATCTAAATTCATCACACAGAGGACTGACCCCCCCAAAATGCTATAACAATGTGTAGTTCAGGATCAGGGAGCTGGATGTGTTAACATCAATGTCATTGTTATCTCTCAAATTTTCCCATGGAACCCGGCCATTTTTAACCCCATACCTGCTCATTGCTGCCTTTTCTAAATTTCCCGTCCCGGTGTAGCTGCCTTGAACACTTTCTCCACTGGTGCTTTCCTCATCAGGTTCGATGTTGACATTGCTCAGTTCCAGGGGATCCATTTGAGCTGTCAGCGCTTTCTCGTCCACGCACAGGCTCCTTCAGTGCAAACAGTATACTGTACCTTCAGCTTAAGGCTTGCCCCCTGGGTGTTAACGTTCAGAACACTCTCTTCTGCAAACAGAACACAAAATAAGTCGTTACAATTTTCTTTAAATTGGATAAATAAATATGAATCACCTATTTGTGAGTGTGTTCTCTGTAAAAAAACATGGAAAGGGAAGTAAACTCCTGAGAACGTCACATACATATGTCCCCAAAGTTTCCATCACCCAATTCAAAGAAAGAAAACGGAAGCAAAAAAGGAAATTATTCACAAATTGCCAAAGTAGCAGATATTTATAGAATGTCAATGCATGGCAGGTACTTGGCTAGTCACTGTGAGAAGAAAAAAATGTATCTCAACCCATGGGAGCAGTCTTCAAGGAGCGTTAGGTATTTGTAAGCAGGTTGCATGATCTACATGAAGTGGCGACAATGGTAAACCGTTGATACAGGAAGGTTGGTCAAGGCAGAATCTACTAGCATCTCTACTAGCAGTAACACAAGAAAACTGCTGCTTTAATTTGTTAACTGGAGGGGTGGGGGGAAGAATGAACACCTCCAAAATGCTTAATAACGTAACGCAGGGGAGGATCAGGCTTAGGAGGCCACTTTCCAGGCACTTGGATCATGAAGCCAGAGGTAAGAATGGTAACAAAAGGAAGCATGGGTTTATCTTTGAATCAGCATCAGTCACCATCTATATAAAGTTCAAACGCATTTTAACAAGAAAGGAATCCAGCTTTTAGGCTCTACCCTGCCTTTAATTCATTGAATCTCAGCACAAGTTATTTAATTTTTTTAAGCCTCATTTTCCTCCATTGTTAAGTGAAAAAGAGTGGACTGGCATCATTAAAAAAAAAAAAAGCTATGAATCCAGTAATGTGGTTAGTACAATTTCTTCTGAAACTTTTACTATTAGATTCATTCAATTCTTGTTGAGTCATTATAGTGGGAGAAACACTTTTGCTCTTGGAACAGGCACTACCCATTTGGTAAGGAAATCCTGAGCAGAGAAACTAACATAAAAATTGCTCCAGAACTCACTTAATCCCTAAATCTCCTGACAAATATGGAACAGCCACAGGAGAAAGCCTCCACAGTCCAGGGCTGCAGTAGCCCATCCATGGAAGGCAATTTATACTCAAGGTGAGTTCAGATCCCAAATCGCAAAAGTTATGCATCACACATGGAAATTCATTACGATGAGGGTCAGCAGGCACAAGAAATTGTAAGAGTCACACCTGAGGGATGACAAACTGCAAAGCAATTTAAAATGGACTTAAAAACGAATATAATAAAATGGCTCAAAATAAGAAATAGCATCCATAGAACAAGAACATTATAAAAGAAGATCAGGCTGGTTTGAGAAAGAGCCAACAAAAGGAGTCTAAGAATAGAATATATAGTCATTGAAATTTGAAAAAATTTCAGCTGAAGGGAGAGTAATGAAACTGGAAGACAGATGAAGGGAAATCACTCAAACTATATCACAAAGGAAGAAGGAAAAACATGAAGTTAAGAGACATGTGGACGAAACACAAGAATAAGAAGTTTAAGCATATCCTAACAGTTACTTTAAATCAGAGAGAATTGTGAGACTAGGAGGAGACAAAAAGGACCTAGTGGAAAAGAACTGCTGGGAACTAAAGAAAGACAGTAGTTTTCAGGATTTCAAAAAAGCACACAGTACTTCAAGCAGAAGGAAAATATATTCATTAATGCCAGGTAGTGTTAAGTGTACAACATCAGAGATAAAGAGAAAAATCTTAAAAGCACCAAAGAGAAGAGCAGGGAGACATGAACACAGTTAAAAGGAAGAAACAGAACCTTGTACTCACTGCGCACAAAGGCTTCTCTCAGTGCCACACAGGATCAGTTTCACTTCCCAGCAGCCGTCACTAATGACAGTTACTGTTTTTAGTTCTTCATTTAAAGTTACTCATTCTATATTTAAACCATTCACTACAACCTCTCTGACTTGGATTATCAACTCGAGACTGACACTTAGGAAAGCTAAGGAAGTCATCATACCTCTTTCTAGGCTCCTCTTCCCTTCCCCACACCCCCAATCATTTTAGTTCATGAAATACTTTTACAATATTGAGATTCATTTATATTTCATCCTATTCTGTAAAACAATTAAATCTCTCGTAAGTTATCAAAAGGAGGTTTCTGAACACTAAAACCCAATGATCAGCATTGACAGCATTATGACCGTGTAAACGGTAGGTCCCAAAGAACCAAGTGGTATTTTTGACTACATCATAAATGACATAAAATCCTATATGACTAAAACTTTGAAAGCAAATTATTCATGCTCTTTTGCTTTGTGAAGGGCCTCCCCCCATCCTCTAGTCTCGTTCAGCTGTCAGTGGTTCTTGAAGGCCACTCCATCTTCTTTCTTCAATTCATTTTGCATTGTGCTCAGCACTACCTTGAACAACTGTTTTTTTCACACAATATGTCCAGGTTTGTAAGTGAAACTTTTAAGTTGTTTCGCCTTGGAAAATATCTTTACTTTGTCCTCAAACTTTTTTGTTTAAATTCTAGATTCAGTGGTGAGTGCTTGCTTAGCATGCATGAGGTCCCAGGTTCAATCCCCAGTACCTCCTCTAAAAAAATAGTGAATAAACTTAATTAACTCTCCCTCCAAAAAAATTAAATTCTAGATTCAAAATCATTTCCCTGCACAGTGCTGAAGACATTTGTCTCCCAACTTCTAGCTTCCACTGAGTCTGAGTCTTATTTCTTTGATTTTTTTCTTCTGGAAGATTTTGGAATTTTTCTCCTTGTCACAATCTGAAATGTCTCCAGGACATAACTAGATGTGAGTAGTTTTAAAAAAATTCCTCTTACTCCACAAGTGGAGAGCACAACTATTTAAAAGACTTGTATCCTTCTTCTGATCAGAAAAATGTTCCACTGTTTTAAAACCATTTCCTTCCCCTGTATTTAATCCTTCTAAAACTTTTATTATTGGAACCCTGGTATTGGTTCCAGGTATCAGAATTCTAGATCAATATTGCTAAGATTTTCTCTTTATTTTCCATCTCTTTGTTTTATTACACAGTGTTCAGGGATAATTCCTCAATGTCATGTTCAGAATAACAAATTTGATCTTCAGCTGTGTGATACTGTGCTGTAATAAGAAATAAATGTATTTGGTTTTCATCCTGGCTCCTGGCACAGAGCTGCTAATGTAATATGATAAATTAATGTTTGTTTTTTGTCCCTATTCCTGAAATAGTTCTGAAATGATAATGGTGTGGTTTTTATTATTCATAACAAGACCCTTTCAACCACATCTGAGTTTATGTTAATGCGGTGACTTTTGGAAAGCCCCTAAGGATGAGGGGCTGGTTGCCAGGGGAATCAACCATGTGATTAAAGGGTTGGGACTTTCAGCCCCACTCCCAGCCTGCTAGAAGAGGTGAGGGGCTGGGGGTGGATCTAACCACTAATGGCCAATGATTTAATCAATTGTGCCTAGGTCATGAAGCCTCCATGAAAAATCCTAAATGAAGGGGTTTGGAGAGCATCTGAACTGGTTACCATGCGGAGGTACTGGGAGGGTGGTTCACCAGGAAAGGGCGTGGAAGCTCTGTGCCCCTTCGCACATATTTCCTCTTAAACATCTCTGTTGTCTAGTGGTTCCTGAGTTATATCCTTTTATATTAAACCAGTAACCTAGTAGACACACTTTCCTGAGTTCTGTGAGCGACTTCAGAAGATTTTTAAATCTGATTTATAGCTAGTTGGGGAGAACTGGCTGGAGTGAAAAAATCCACACATTTGGTACAGGTATTGAGGGTAGGTTAGAAAAACACTGTGCACTTTTTAATACAATTTTTAAAGAGTGCTTTCCATTTACGGTTGTTACAAAGTATTGGCCCTATTCCTTATGTTGAGCCAACCTTACACCTGGCAGCTTGTACCTCCCACTCTCCCACCCCTATCTTGCTCCCCACTTCCTCTCCCCACTGGTAACCACTGGTGTGTTCTCTAATCTCTGAGGTTGTTTTTTTTTTGTTATATTCACTAGTTTGTTGTATTTTTTAGGTTCCACATATTGATATCATACAGCATTCGTCTTTTTCTCACTTATTTCACTTAGCCTAGTGCCCTCCAAGTCCATCCATGTTGCTGCAAATGGCAAAATTTCATTCTTTTTTATGGCTAAGATTATTCCATCATATATATATATATATATGTGTGTATATATATATATATATACACACACACACACACTATATTTTCTTTATCCATTCATCTGCTGATGGACACATAGATTTGCTTCTATATCTTGGCAATTGTAAATAAAGCTGCTGTGAACACTGGAGTGCATGTAGCTTTTCAAATTGGAAATATTTTTCACTTCATTTTTCAACCTGTCTACTAATTATTTTTCACAAATATCTGATAATTTTTTTATTCTCTTCTTCTTTTTTCCTAACACCTTTTTTTTAAATTTGTTTTATAGATGCAATATTTACTCAAATCTTTCTAAGGATATTGATTAAAAGTTCCCAGAAGCTCTTTTTCTTCCCTAAATCATGTGCTTTTTTTTCTGGAGTTATCCTGTTTGTTCATCCCGGCCCTTCTCTTCTCTATGCCTGGTTTTTCTTAAATTCTCAGCAATCCTAGGTTGTTAGTTCATATTTATGAATGAAGAGTGAGCTGGTTAACTTGGGGTTTCTCTGAAATCTTGCAAGCTCATGCCACTGATGGGTTTCTCCCCTGTAGGTCCTGTGTCAGTGGCTTCTGTGCAGCCCATCTGTGTGCCGCGCATCTGCAGGAACCTACTCCCAGACACAGCTGGCACTGTGGGAGAGCTTCCTCTGGGAGCAAAACACAGTGATGTCTTTTCCTCTTGCTGAGCTTCCATTCCTGCGGGTATCCCCCTCTGTCTGCTGTGCAGCCCCTAACATCTAGTATTGAGTTTATTCTCAGGCTCTTTACAGACTAGGTCATAGCCTTATCCAGTGGCCAAAAAAAAGGCAGCCCGCACAGACCAAGTCCAAGCCAAGGCTCGTTGGTGAACACCTGGTCATCGGTGGCTCGTGATCCAC